AGGGGCAAAGAAGGAGATGGAGATGATTGAGGAGCAGGGGCTGGATTTTTGAGAGATGATTGAGGAGCAGAGGCTGGATTTTTGAGCAGGGCTGTGTTTTTTAGACGAAAACGACGTCGTTTAGTTTGGGACTCCAACTATTTTTTGGGAGGTAGGACTGATACCCACTTTCCCGTATTTATAATACCTTTTATTACAATAATTTACACTAAAAATAACTTACAATTGAATTTTTTTTTTTTTTTTTTTAAGGAAAGCATCCAGAGGGATGAATGGAGTTGCATGCATCAGTTTTTTCAGAATGAATGTTTGTTTAATATGGCAGATGACTAAAGAGGTAGAAAATCAATGCAGTTGTCCCAAAAATAAATTTATAATGATATTGGACGTGGCATATCATGTATCGTGTATTTTTGTGTAAGGGTGTGTATGAGGGGCGGATAACTCTTATATTTAAATGTTGAGATAAATAAATAGAATTCATGAAAAAGAAAAAAAAAGAATAAAGAGAAAGTACGATGAAAATAATAAAAGTTACGTGCCTTTATACGTAACTTAAATCATTTTGTGTATCTTAATATTAATTTTATTTATTAAAATTTGTCACAATTTTATTAATCTCATTGCTTATTTACAAGAAAAGTTTATATATCTATTAAAGGGTTAGTTATTTAATAATAAAGAGGTTTAAATTTTTTTTTCTTAATTTTAAATCAAAAATTTTAAATTAATAACGATCAATTTAACTAAATTTTTACTGATGAAAAGCTCAATCTATTATTATACAAAAAAATGTTATTGCCACACATATTTATAGTCTCTTATTTCTTAAACAATTATTTTAAGATGTTTAAAAATAGAGAATGTGAAAAATTAAGACTTTTGACATTATAGAATGTCAAAATATTCAATAATAATAATTTGATAAATTTAATAAAATTAAGATTTATATTATATCTTTTGTATGAATAATGATAAAAAAAACGAAAGTTTAATATAAAAATTTGAGATTAATGATGTAATACATTTTATGTTATAAAATTAATTGATATATATAATATTTTAAGTTATAAAAAAATAAAAAGAGTCAATCATTAAATAATATAAGATTTTTTTTTAGTATTTTAAATAATGTGCCACATCATTAATCTTAAAATTTAATCTCAATTATCATTACTCTTTTTCTATTTAATGACTATAATTAAATATTTTAACACAATAAATACAAAGATGTCTTAATTGTTTTCTCTTAAAAATATTAATTTATATATTAATTTTAAATTTTAATTAATAAACATTAATTATTTTAGTGGGATTAACTAATTAAAACTCTGATGTAAAAGAGGTGTGGGGAAGAAAATGAAAATCCGAATCCTGCTCTAGGAATTAAAAAAAAAGAAAAACATTTTTTAATCAATAATTTAGCCATTTATTCAAGATTTTTCTCAATTTATGTTAACCGTTCTTAACTAGCTATTAATAGTTAATGTTTAAAATAAATATATAACATTAAAAAAATAAGATTTTTATTTACCCGTTGGAATTATATCTTAAAAATATTGTTTATTTAATACATTTATAAAAATATTTTTAATAAAAATATTTTTAAACTATTTTATTAAAAATATTTTAATAAATTTATATGTTATATTACATTTTAAAAACAAAATTTATTCTATAAAATATATATTTTGTTAAAAAAAATTGTATTTTTTCATTAGTTCGTTATCACGCAATTTGATTAACCTCAAAAAAAATTTGTTTCAAAACATAATTCATATCTAATAAGATTAAAATTTTACTAAGAAATATTTAAAAATTATTGATTAAAATATATTTTAAATAATTTTTTAAAACAATTTATAATCGTACAATACTAAAAAGATGTAAAAGGGAATTTTCGGAGAATCAAACATTCAACTTTGCGATATTTTTCTCACACATAATTAAGTAACAAATCACTTGAACTAAATCTGAACAAATTTTAAATAATATTAAATGTATAAATATTTTTAAAACTTACTTTAAGACTAAAGTTTAATTAAAAAATTAATTTTAAATATTTCTAGCTAAAAAAAATTTAAAACTCGTGAAAGGAAATAGTTTCAAAGTACTTTCTGAACCAAAACGGCCTGATGGGTTTGTTACTTTTGTTTCCGAAAGTGTTGTGAGCAGAGCGAAGAGAGGAGATTTGTTGCATTGGATGCAATGTTTGTTTTTCCTCCTCACCAATCACCTCCATACTACCAATTCCTATCCAAATTTAGCCAAAAATGGAGTAATAAACATCGGCTCAACCTTTATCCATGGAAACAAGGGTTCTTCTTTCTTCTTCTTCTTCTTCTTCTTCTTCTTTTTCTTCTCCCCGTGATTGTCCCTCGTCTCCGGTGGCCAGGCATTGGAGGCGGGGTTGAAAAGGGAAGAAAAAGATAGAGGCTTTGAAGTTTGAATAAACTCTAACCTCAACTGGTTGTGCCCTTCGTGCCTTTATTCATTAGAAACTTAAGGGATTCTGGCAATGGCGCTCGTAAGACCACCATCGTCTACAACGGAGGAGGCTTCCGTGCTGACGGCGGTTGTAATGGATAAGGACAAGAATAGTCAATTCGCGGTGAAATGGGCGGTGGATAATTTCTTGACTGGTAATTATTCCCCATTCATCCTCATTCATGTCCGAAAGTTAGCTTCCTCCCATTAAAAAATGGCAGCTTTAGACAAATTTCATGAGGATTTACGTGCTTTTGATACTACCGTTTCCATATATACAGCAATATCGTGAAAATCCTCCATTCCCTTTATTCATTTTCTTTTTCAAGTTTGATTTATCTTGTTGGCTTTTTACAGAAGATTTTGAAGCTTCCCTGCAAGAGGGTCGGCCACCAACAGAAGCAGGGTCACAACAATTCTTCCTTCCCAACCGAGAATTCTGTGCTCCAAAAAGGGTGAGTTATTATGAGTCTGATGGTTAGGATTCTCCGGTGAACATTGGAGAAAATTAAGCTTCAGCAAGAATGCATTTTGGTGTCATAAAGGACAGACTTTAGCATCTAAATGAAGTTGGTAAATCTCATCTTTTCAAGGTTGAGATAATTTGATATAGTTAATATTTTATATATCATATATGTGAAGCTCTAAATTTTGTTCTTCATGTGCAAGCATGGCTACCCATAAGATGGTTGAAGCATATACTAAACATATTAGAATCTTAAAGAACAATGATAGAGAACTCTATATATTAACATAATAGAATGCTAAAAATGTAGATAACTTTCTGTGAAAATCATGTCTGATATTGGTGCTAACACTCTAAAGCACATGACTTTTATCAATGATCGAGTTTTCAGGTTCAGGCAAAGGACGTTGTGCTCTGTGACATTGATGTTCCAAGTGCAATTGTAGATTACATCATTAACAACTCAATTGACAGTATTGTTGTTGGTGCTTCCAGCCATAGCTCTCTTATAAGGTCTCTCTTCCTCTTATGTGAACATATTAACACATTTGAGCTGTTACATAATTTTTATAGGTAGTTAGTTTATGAAAGTTTGTTGAGGAGGTGAAGAGCATTGATTTTTGGCATTTACAAAGTTGTGTTTTTTATCTCCTTTAATGTTATTTCCCTCAAAGATATCTACTACTTTCAGATTACCAATGCAGTAATAGTTTACATCTTTACCATACATTGGATGTACATCAACTAAAATTTATATACATGATTTATCTGCTACTAGGGTTCTATTAATGTGTGCATGAGTTGGAAAACATTTCTGCTCTTTGATTTTATTAAACAGGGTAGAGGATTATGCTTTCTTCATTTTATTAAGGAGTGGTTTAAGCCTTTAAGATTGCTGAAATATGGATGACTTGTAATTAAATTGTGTAAATTAGGGGTATTGCTAAAAGCCTAAAACAAATTTCTTCTGCAGAATGGAGGAAAGAATAATAATTATTGAACAGTTTTACAAGTGAATGGTAAGCTTAGATACCTATGGTTGCTTATGATTATTACCCTAGTAAGGTTGTTGAGGAGTCCTGAGCTAGCAATCCTAGTGTGCAGTTTTCCCTTTTTAACAATGTTGCAGAAAGTGCTAGGTGATGGTGGGCATTTTTCTTTTTTGCAAAAAAATGCCAAAATTAGTCAGAAAATCTAAAAAATAAAAGAAATGCTTAGCCCTACTGCCTACAGTCTGGGCAAAGCGGTGAAGCACCAACTAGTGTGCCAAAGCATGATTTTTGCTACACTGCTTTTTAACAATGCTGTTGCTTCTTTGTTGCAGAAAATTTTCAAACGCAGATGTGCCTGCTGGCTTACTCAATTCTGCTCCAGAATCTTGTGCGGTATCTGTTATATCAGAAGGAAAAGTTCAGTCTTCCTGTCCAGCAAACCAAGCTCAGACAACCACCAGCAATGCAACAATACCAAAAGGACGATCTTTAAAGGGACTCCAATCTAATTCTAAACATGCACCTGATATTCCAACTGTAGAAGAGATAAAGCAGTAAGTCAGGAAACATTATAACTTTGTGTCTTGTTGGTGGGCACCAACTAATAAAACTAAAATGTACAAAAACTTCCAAGCTTCTGAACAGTCTTGTTGCATTTTAAAACTATTAAAAAATTGTCACAAAGTCAGTGCTTGAGATGATAAACTCTAATGTTTTTATGAGATTAATAGCATTATTCTCTGTAATGTTCTTTCATTACAAGCCTCATGCTTCTCTGGTCTGATTCCTTCTTGCTTGTACAGAGGTGGTTTAAGTCAGGAGAGCAGCAGGAGTGAAGGCACTGATAGAACATCTATCAACATTATTAGTGATTCCTTTAAGGTTTCACCTAGTGCCAAATGCAAGTTGAATGATGAGATTACTTCACCTCCATTGTCACTTGGCAGTGGCACTCAAATGTTAGAATCCTTAAACAGAGATTCTGTATCAGATGACAGTGTTATTTCAGACCCAACTAGTTTCCCATCATCAAATGTACCTAGTGAAAAGTTAGAATTCACTTTGGAGAGTTCCACTTCTTTCTCCTGTCAAAACCCAGTAAGTATTTTATGGATTAATTAAATTAATAAATATTTGATCACTTAATGATAATATTATTTGGAAGTAGATTTTGGATACTCTGATTTAGTGGATATGCAACTGCTGTAAAGTTGAGAAGAGGGGTGTGGGGGGGTTGACCTCTTGAGGTTACTGGATGGTTCTCTTGTATAACTGATTTATGTTCCTGTAACATAACAAGACAAATTGAAGATGGTATTAAAAATATTAACATTCAAGTATGACTATTGACTGGTTGATTATCATGAATCCAGTGACTAATGTCTTTTGCTCTGGCCCATGTTATTGAAGCCCTTGCTTTAACATGTGCATAGAACTTTAACCTAGTGATTCCAAATTTGTTCCATTGGTGTGGCATGACATAACGGAAACCCATTTCTCTCTTTACAGAAAGGTTTGGAGGCAAAGATGAGGAGATTACAGAATGAATTGAAGCAATCAATGGAACTGTATAACTTGGTTTGCAAAGAAGCTGCTGGATCAGAAAAAAGAGTGAGAACGTATCTTGACTTCAACTTGACAATGTGATCATTTGACGTGGTGAATCTTAGCTAATTTGTGTTCTCAGGAAAAGCTACTTCAGGAGTGGAAAGCAGCAGAAGAGCATAAGTTAGTGCAAGTCAAGCTTGCTGAACAAGCAGCATTGGCTTTGGCAGAGGCTGAGATGCAGAAGACCAAGGCTGCAATTGAAGCAGCTCAGGTGGCACGACTTCTGGCAGATCTAGAGGATCAGAAAAGACAACATGCAGAAATGAAGGCCAGAAATGAAGCAGAGGAGATAGAAAGAGCATTGGGTCAGTTTGCTCACCAAAAAGCAGCGTACAGAAAATACAGTATTAATGAGATTGAAATTGCAACAGATTACTTTGCAGACTCACATAAGATTGGTGAAGGGGGATATGGGTCTGTATTTAGAGCCATGCTTCAGTACACTCCTGTTGCCATCAAGGTCTTAGCACCAGGCATGTCACAAGGACAGAAGCAATTCCAACAAGAGGTTCTTCATTCTTCTTTTTACCTTTTATTGAAAGACCTAT